CATTCTCCACTCCACGTGAGTGGGTGTGAGGGGAGCGAGCCGCTGAGCGAGTCGCCTCAGCTTCCCTTGAGTGTCTGCTTGGCGTTCCCACTGCAGCTAAGCTCACCAGGCCTCCCTCCTTCCCTAAAGGGAAAAAAATAAGATGATTGTACTGAGAAGGAGGTGAACCCTTTGTTGTTGTTCCTAAAGACGCTTTTTTTTTCCGTCCCTTTTTTGCTTTAGTGTTGGTCCCCTTCAGCCTGTGCCAGAACTAGATCTCCCCGTGCTAGCCAGGAGCCAGGGCTGTGCACAGCCGCAGCGCAGGGAGGCCCCAGCTCTGGCAGCACGGTTTCACGGTTCAGGAAGGCTTTTTGAGGAGTTTCTGAGGAAAATGGCTCATATTGCGGCCAGTTCTGGCTGAAGGCAAAGGTGAGGCACGCAGCCCCTCCCTGCCCCTGGGTTTGTTCAGGGCCTGCTAACGCTGGCGTGTTTTGATGCAGATTTAATGGAAGTGTGGCTTCTATTGGAGAGCTGCTCGTCTAATAAAGGCTATAGATGAAGTTCGCTTTGTTGGAGAGGCTGGATGCGGTGGTGTCCCTCCGGCTTACAAGCGTTCGGCTCCTGTGTTGAGTCGGTGTCGCGTGAGAAAATTGCCCTCTGTGCCTGCTGGTTATTTTTTATGTTTTTAGAGAAATAGTGGAGGATGAGAGAGCTATCAAGGGGACCTGAGGGCTGCAGAAGGCGTTTTGCAGAGGCCTTGGGAGATGCTTATCACCGAGAGAGGTTAGCAGGAGGTGTCTGCTTTCAGTACAGAGCTCTTTGTTATCAGGGAGTCAGAGAAATGAAGGTAAAAGCACTGACAGCAAAGCGGAGTGATTACTAGCAGGCAAAGCACACAGGGAGACTGCAAGGGCATGGGTGGGAGAAAACCACCCAGGAGCTTCCCTGGAAAATCTGCTCCCCAGCTCCGATGCTGCACTGTAATTTTGCTTCAAGGCCACAGGGTGGGGGATGCCGGGCCTGTGCTCTGTCCCCTGCCCTGACTCACCGCACCCGGGCGAGCAGCGGGACAAGCTGGACGCTTTTGCTGCCTTCCCTGATGGACAGGTTTAAGCTTGACCAAATTTAGGCTGAAAAATAGATTTCCAGCCGTGGAGGAGGGAGGTGGATGCTGGCAGCGCTCGGGGTGGCACGGCGGGGGGGGCGCCGGCCGCGGCGCGGATGCCGGCAGCGCTCGGGGTGGCACGGCGGGGGGGCAGCAGGCTGCCGGGAAGCTCCTGGATGTGTGTTCACAGCTCTGCTCCAAACTGTGTTTTAACAGTTTCCATCGCCTCGGGTGCAGCCAGATGGGCCAGGGCAGGCGAGATCTGCTGGCCAGGGGGTGGCAGGCGAGGCAAAGCCCCCCAGGCTGGGGCTGTGTGACGGGGG